ACATACAGGTAGACAGACTGCCAGAGCGCTCGCATACACTACATAATACATACCAGTAATTCTTTATCGGGGTAATAGTTGAGTTCGACATAATGGGCCACTTTATTCAATGGCATTCCCAGCTTAGCGTAATCGTAGGCCCTTTGGTCCTGACATATATCGTCGGCTATGGAAATGTATATTATATTTAATTTCAAGTTTTATCGTTTTGTTTTGTGTTTCGATCGTATATTTTTCACACATTTTAAAAATTGTTTGTTTTTTGCTCTCTTCTCGTCTTAATTAATATTCTATGCATTGCTTCATAATATTAAGCGTTTTTGCACACAAAATAAATTATAAGTCTCGTACATATAATATTAATAATGTGGCGTAAAAATGTTATATTCCAGTGTGATTTAATAGTCTCTCTCTCTCTCTCTCTCTCTCTCTCTCTCTCTCTCTCTCTCTCTCTCTCTCTCTCTCTCCATTCATAAGTTTATCATATATTTTGCTACCTTTTTCTGAATTCAATTTATTATTAGAAGAATTATATGTTTTGATATAAACTGGAAGTGAATGTAAAGGATGTGATGATAAGTGAGGGATACTTACACTGAAGGCACGCATTCTCGAAGTAATCCACTCCTTGACTCTCGACTAGATCTACGGGAAAAGCGCCGGGACTTCGTCTGTCATATTCGCTGAGATGACACTGTAGTGTCAGGTAATTAAACTCAACAGATCTGCAGACAAATCGCACCTACAATCACAGTCACATCCAAAAAAATATAGTTAAGTTAATACCAATAAATGGGGAATTAAATAAAATTAATGGTCAATCACTCAACAGTAGAATATGTATAACACAATTGCAATTCATATCCACTTTGATGTTCACAAATGCATTGAAAAAGTAATATTTAAAAGAGAATAACAAACGTGTATAACATTTATGATGTATGAGTGAAAAGCTTATTACATGTTATTATAGTATTAATACATAATAACAATTCATAATCATCAGAAAACATCATTTTGTATTGTTGTTTGTTTCACTCGCTTTTTAAAGCGAGTTTTAAAGTCAATCAAGAAGTAAATGAAGTACAAGAAGAATGAAAGAGAGAAATAATAATAATAAAAGTGGTCATCATATATGAGTGCGAGATGTGTGGAGATGTGTGTATGTATACCTCATTAAGACAGGCCGCAAGACAGGCCTCCTTATTGGATGTATAGATGATAGCGTTGTCCAGACCTCGGAGGACGCGATTGGGAAAGCGCTCGAAAGCCCACAAACGATTGCACACATTCTCTGTGTTCAAGACATACAATAAGAGTTAAATGAAACGCTTTAATAAAATATGAATTTATAGTTTAAACGCATTCAACAAATCGCTTGTGTTATTGTAATTGAATTTGAAGAGAAAATGTATTTTATTTTAATAGCGAAACAATTTTCGTAGAGATAATAATCGAAAATATAATTCACAAATCGTGATCGCCTTTTATTGTGGAAGTAAATGACAGAATAGATTATTGTAAATGTTAGAGAGAGAGAGAGAGAGAGAGAGAGAGAGAGACTATTAAATCACACTGGAATATAACATTTTTACGCCACATTATTAATATTATATGTACGAGACTTATAATTTATTTTGTGTGCAAAAACGCTTAATATTATGAAGCAATGCATAGAATATTAATTAAGACGAGAAGAGAGCAAAAAACAAACAATTTTTAAAATGTGTGAAAAATATACGATCGAAACACAAAACAAAACGATAAAACTTGAAATTAAATATAATATACATTTCCATAGCCGACGATATATGTCAGGACCAAAGGGCCTACGATTACGCTAAGCTGGGAATGCCATTGAATAAAGTGGCCCATTATGTCGAACTCAACTATTACCCCGATAAAGAATTACTGGTATGTATTATGTAGTGTATGCGAGCGCTCTGGCAGTCTGTCTACCTGTATGTGTGTGAGCTCTCAAACCCGTCTTTCAATACAATTATAAATTATTAATATAATAATAGACTCAACGAAATGAACAAATGTTTACAGAAAAAAGAGAAAGAAAAATAATAGGAGAAAAATCTTTTGCTAAACTTTTCCATAATTCAAACACTTATTTAATGCGTTAAATGCTTTTCCATTGAATTTTAGCGATCAAAACATTTTATATTTTATTCCTCTCCTCATTTCATATGACATTTTGATGGCAAACACAACACATAATAAACACTTTTTCGCACAGAATTTAATTGTACTATTATTTAATATATATGTTATTGTTATGAAACAATCAGGTGAAATCACAGGGCGGGTGTCTGCGCGCCTGTACCATCGAGAATGAATTCATATGCCGATCGGTGCTCTATAGGCCCAGCTATAAGCCGGGCCAACCCAACTGCGCTCTGTACCACTTGGACCACAAAACATTTCCGGATGGCGCCGACACATACACTACTCCCAGTCCATTACCGTTACTCGACAGCGGAGAGACAACTGCCGTATATCTGGAAACGAGTTGCACGAGTAAGTAGTGGTGTCTCCACACCTTTTCCAAATGCCTTTTCCACTACACCTTTAAAGCGCCGCCACTTAACGCTTAACAGTGTTTAGTATATTCTTACGTATATTATATAAATATTATTATTATATTTCCATTAATTTTATTGCGGTCTTAAGTATACCGTTAAATGTATATTAGAAATACTTATCAAATGCTTTCAAACTATTTATTGCTATTAAAAAAAGTTCTCTCAGTTTGTGGTGAAATACTATCTCATTATAACTTTTCGAGTCATTTAAATCGCGAAATTTATTTCACAATTATTTTGTAATCACTTTATCATCGTTTAAATGTTAAACCAATAGACGAGACCTCAACGCCAGTGCACAGCCAACAGACAGCGGCCGCCTCTAACGGCAAGCCATCGATAATACCGGTGTCCACTCAATCGCCGGCAATGCCCACAATAGCCATCACAACACCGGTCAGAGATGACCCAAATCCGGAGCCGTCGTGCGATTCTTACGGTGTCTGCTATGAGGTGTCGTTGAAGTGTACGGACACTCGTATTGTGGTTAACGTACGCACGAGTAGACCATTTCACGGCCGGATCTATGCGTTGGGTCGGAGCGAGACATGCAATTCGCACATCAGAAACAGCCAACAGTTCCAACTCGACATGTCTTTGGGCGGTCAGGACTGCAACACTCAATCGCTGGTAAGAAAACAATTTGCCAATCATTTCGATCGCCTCTATTCCAGTCCCGCATTCAATGAGTGTTTCATTCATTGTTTGCCATTAAGAAAAAACAAAACACCGAAAAAACAACACACAATCATTAGAGACACTCAAACCTCTAGTTTGCAGATAACAAGAAAAAATTGTTTTGTTTTTTTGTTGCTTTTTCTTTTCATTTCTTGTTATTTGGCAAAAAAAACATTTTTTACATGAATGCCTTTTTCTCGACCATAACCACTATGAATGGCTGGACGGACAACAGGCGGGTGTGTACACGAATACAGTGGTACTGCAACACCACAACGTGGTGCTGACCAAAGCGGACAAAGTATATCACGTTCGGTGTACTTACGAGACGACGTCGAGGAACGTGTCGTTCGGGATGATGCCAGTCAGGTAAGAGTAGTAGTGCTCGTAGTGCTCCCGGGCTGTCAATATACTCAATGAGCAAATTAGAGATCCATTCGACTCTACCTTTCCCAGGGATCCCGACACCTTACAGATCACTTCGTCACCCGAAGCCCCGCTCCCGAAGATTGTCATCTTTGGCACCGATGGACGCGAGGCCAGCACTGTTCGCATCGGCGACCGCCTGTCCTTCCGTATAGAGATTCCCGAACTCACACCCTATGGTATATTTGCCCGAAGTTGTGTCGCTATGGCTAAGGACGCCAGGAGTACGTTTGAGATCATCGATGAGCACGGGTACGACTTTTTTGCTCATTCATTCATTCATTACGTGTTTTATATGCATAACGTATGTATTGTGTATTGTGTGGGACAGGTGTCCAGTGGACAACTCAATCTTCCCGTCCTTCCTTCAAGTGGGCAACGCTTTGGAGAGCAGTTATGAGGCCTTCCGGTTCACGGAGTCTTATGGTGTGATATTTCAGTGTAATGTCAAGTACTGTATCGGCAAATGTGAACCAGTCATCTGCGGTGTCGGCCGCGACAACGTTGAGTCCTGGGGCCGACGCCGTCGGTCCATACACTCTCCGGCCAATCAGTTCGAGTCCGACGACGAGATGACACTCAGCCATGAGATTCTAGTTCTTGATTTCGGTGATAACGATAGCGCCAGTAAAGCCAAATGGGATCCATTCAGCTCTAATGGTTAGCACAATATTTCCGTTATTATTACCAATCTTTTTGATAAACAATCAGACGTTTCGTCAATTTTTTACTGCTTTTCTTTGAATAGTATTTTTTAAAATAGTGATTTGACTCTTGAGTTGAATTCATTTTTTAATAATATCAGTGTTTAGTCGAAATATTTCGTTCACATCTCTCTCTCTCTCTCTCTCTCTCTTCTCTCTCTCTC